TTTCACTAGTTTGAGTAATGGGCAGACTGTAGGCTGAAATTGAATTTGTCCGTCCTCCACCCAGAATGACTGCTGCCGTGGGAAACGAGATGGAATCAACAGTCTTGAGAGAAAACTGAAGAGACGCCTGGAAAGAGAAGGCCTCTCCAGTGATCGGTGGGATCGAGTTAAAAACATGCGGACCCCCAAAAAGAAGAAAATCAAACTGAGCCACTCCAAGGACATGAACAATTTCAAGTTAGAGAGGGAGCGTAGCTATGAATTAGTCCGTTCTGCCGAAACTCATTCCCTGCCCTCAGACACATCCTATTCTGAACAGGAGGACTCTGAGGATGAAGATGCCATCTGCCCAGCTGTGAGCTGCCTGCAGCCAGAAGGAGATGAGGTCAGTGAGGTTTGGGCCATAGAGGACGTGCTTTCCCTTAACTCAGAAACCCTGTAAGCTACACCTCATCTCGCTGGGTCTTTCTCTTCTGCTTATCTGCTTTGAGCTGATCTGAATGGATTGCTCAGCCCTCCCCCACTGATATCTCTGCTCTTACCATCGTTCCTGGGTCTTCTCCCTTTTCTTGAAGAAACTCTTATTCTTCCCTTTTTCCTTTTCCTGCTATTCCAGCTTTCACCTTCCCGGCGCTAAGAAGGTGGGAGGGATGCTGATGTAATGCCCTTTTGCTTACTTATCACAGGGCGGCGCTGTCTTAACCCCAAAGCAGTCACGACTTGAAGAATGGCTTTGACTTGGTTGCTTTGGCTGGTGGGCCAGCTACACTCATGTGGCGTAGCTGTTGTGCCAGAGGTCCCAGTGGTGGGACGGTGGCCGTTAGTGGCAAACGGCCTGAATATCTTGAGGCTGGCCTGCCCAATTTTGAATCACATTTTTTCCTCTGAAAACCCCATCTCCCTGCTCTTTGTAACCAGGTGGACTGGGTCCAGTGTGATGGCAGCTGCAATCAGTGGTTTCATCAGGTCTGTGTTGGTGTTTCTCCAGAGATGGCAGAGAAAGAAGACTACATCTGTGTGCGCTGTACTGTGAAGGACGCACCAAGCCGAAAATAAAACACACACACACCCACGTGCGCGCGCGCGCACACACACACACACACACACACACACACACACACACACAGACACACACACAAAACACCCCCCCGCCCCCAACCACTTAACGTAATTCAGGACTCCAACCAAGAAGATTTCTTCAATTTCTCAGCAAAGCTACAGGACTGGTATTCAAACCAGCCTGTAAACGGTGCTATTTCTATTCCTTACGGGATCATTTTTCCAGAACTCTTTGAAAAAAAGAAAAAAACAACTAAAAAAATTTTTGACACTTTTTGTATTTTTTTCCTTAAGAGCTGTTTGTGGTTGTTGAGGTTTGAAATGCTGACTGTTTTTTTGCAGGGGTTTCCACCAATTTGGAAGGCATTAGAGCTTGCACCTTTTCATGTACAGCATTAAAATCTTACCTCTGTCTGGGATTTACCGGCTTAAGAGTCCAACTCAGTTTCAGTGCCCAGAAGGGCACCAGAAATTCCAGTAAATCCTCATTTGAGGAATTTCTCTCTTGTTTACTCTGTTACCATATTGGGGAACTTAAGTTTTTCACTTTTGGGGTTTTTTGTTTGTTTCTTTATCCACTTTTCTTTTTCCTGGTAGACTAGGTTTATTTATCTAAGCAATAACTTCTATGTTGGTTTCAGTGGCTGGAATTAAAACAAAACAAAACAAACTTCCAAACAGTGTGTTGGTGCTTTAGCATTTGGTTGATGTACAGAACACGAATGTCTAGTTTCTAGTGTCACTGATGAACTAGTGATGTAGAAAAGAGACTGCTCTGTAAGTCATTGCCACAGCTGTATTTTGGCTTTCTCCCTGCCCCTTCGTTCCTCTCCTTATTTTTTTGGTAGCTTGTATCAAATGTTGCAGTTTATATTGTGGAATAAATCCTTGGTCCTAATTTAACACTAAATGCTGGTTATTTAGAGCCATTAGACTGCAGCTTCTCCGCCCCTCTACCTTGTGGGCTTTGAAGAACTAGAGGGGGGTTGCTTGCTTTTGCCTCTGCCCAACTAGGCCCCAGTAGCAGTGGACGATTCTTTTGTATCCTGCTCTGTTTGGCGGGCCATGTGCCTCCAGTCTCCACTAATAAAGAACCCCACCCAGTCTCCATGGAATAGAACTTGTCTTTAAAGCCATGCTGTTTTTAAATAAGCTTTTCAGAATGGTGGCAAATCATTCCAATCCTCAAATCGGTCTTCCTTGTGGAAATGAAGTCTTTGTTATATTTGAATTGACAGGGAAACTGGATTTGGGTTAAGATGTCAGAAGAGCATCTGAGGAAGATGATCCTCACGGAAGGCTGCAAAAATATGGGTTGAGGGACAGCAACAGCTTGTGACACCCAGGCTCTGCGTCCCTGACTTCCTTCCCTGTCTCTTTCCAACTCTAGCTGTTGTTACTGGTTGTCAATGGTCCATAGCCTTTCCCTTCCTTTTCTTTTTTTAAAGGGCTCTGTTCTGCGGTGGAGAAGACATTCTGGTGAACAGAGCAGACTCTTGCTTGGTTTTTCTCCTTCTGTTAGTAATATTTTCCCCCACATTCTATAGCCATAAACCTGGAGATGGGTAGAACTAGTGGGTCTTTAATAAAACAACAAAACAGCAGTCTGTGATGTAGCAGAGATTTAAATGTACTACCCCCTTTTATGCAATTCAAATAATTAAATCTCTTGTAAGAATGACTTGTAATTGTCTGCAGTTTTCCCACAGTTGTTGTGATGTTTCTCCTTGTCTGATGGGGATTCTGGGGCCAACAGAGAAGAAGAAATCTCCAGAGTACAATCTGGAATAATAGTGGTTTGGCCTTTTTTAAGTATCCAAATTCTTAGAACCCCTTGACATTGGGACAGGATGCCAACTGTCCCAGTTCCATTGAGAATATAAGCTAAAAGGGGACACTGCGGCTAAAATGAAGCCTCTGCCTTTAGAGAGCTTTTGCCCATCTGGGTGTGTACCTCCCATGCCCCTGCTAGTTTTTCTTCCTCACCTTTGGGTTGTACACAATCCCTGACAATAGCATTCTTAGTGAGGTGGATTCTCTGTCTCTCTGAGTTAGGGGGAGAAGGCAACAATGTGTGTATTTAACATCCGTGCCGTCCCCCCTTCCCCCATGCGGGAACCACTGATCTTTTTATAAAGGATGATGATACTGAAGTTAGAGTGTCAGTTGCCCCAAATTCTACTGCTGGTAAATGACAATGCCTGGGTGGTGTCTTCCAAGTCTCTTTTAATATTCCTCCTACCTTGTGTGCTAACGTGGTAAATGAACAGAGGTACATTTACTTTCTAATTGATACCTTCTGTTAAGTACTCAGAACAACTACAAAGTGATGTTACCGAAAAGCCATGTTTACTGTGTATGAGCTGTGAAGCCGGCCTGCATCCTAGAGAAACATCTGCACCTAGAGAAAGAAGATAAGACACACAGAGAAACTGCTGTTTCACCTCCGTAGTCCTGCTGCTGCATGAGGTGTGAGGAGGAAGGGCTGTTAGATGGAGCCCTAGCCAAGAGGGTAAAGGAGTCCAGTGAACTCGGCACCGAATGGTGGATGGGTGCCCTGCCTTATCCCGGTGACTGTGTGTTGTATTTCTATTTTTCCTTCCAAATCAGCCTCTAGGGGATTTCTTCTATGGAATAAAGAAAGGGCTTGCTTGTATGTAGGCTCTGTCTAGCCTGGAGAAAGATTGTGTGATTTGAGGACTAGCCATAAAGGAGATGGACTTCTTTAGAACTTCATTTCAGTGTCCTGGGAGGTGGGAGTCCTTGTTCTATCTCAGGGTTAGCCTAAAGCCAGAGATGCTGGCTGTGGTGGTGGAGGTTGGTAAAAGCCTGAGTTTTCCTGCTTCATTCTGCCATATGGAGCTTTAAAAAAAAAAAAAAAGTGTAAAGATCATGAGATTTTAGGTCTTATGTTTTGGCAGAAGTATCTGAGATTCACTTAATTTGCTATTCTGCCCACCATAAAGAGCAACATTACCCTTTGGGTATTTGTGCAGGATAAGTCTGAGAACAGAGTGGATGCCTACCTGGAAGAGGGTAAAACTTGGTTTTGCCTTGTACTTTCCATTGAACTCTGAAGGCCCTTTGGAAATGGGTGTCTGCCTCTTTTTTTTTTTTTTTCTTCTTAATTTCATATATAGTATTGATGGGTATTTGGCATTCCATTAAGACCCACTTCTGGCTTGGATCAGGCTTTGATTGGTATTTAGTGCCCATGGGTGTTCTGGGCTCAATCTTGCCTAGGTTTCCTGCCATATAACACAGACTGGAAGGGATTAGAGATGCTACATACCTGTAACAGGAGATAGAATTGAACAAGTATTTTAAGAATCATTACCCATTGCCAGTCAGCAACTGACTGTGCTAGTCTATGCTAGGCATCAGCCTGAATTAAAAGGTCTTTGCCGTAATGGTGCAGAAAACACACCCCCTTCTGATGAAACTTTGCCTGTTGGGAAGAAGAGCTGAGAAAAACAGTGAAGATGCCAGTGCCTTTATTTATCAGTTCCATATTCGAGTTGGAGTCCTTTCTCAGCTTCTAGTTGAGCACCAGAGTGATGGCCTCACACCTTCCACCCCTGTCATCAGTCCCTTGCATGTGGCTCCTCAAGCCTCCCATCTCTCTCTCAGAGGTTCCACGTATAACTTGTAATAGAAATGTTAAATGACAAGCTGCCTAAACAAAACATTGTATAAAGTAGGATCTTGTGTAAAGTAACACTGTTGTAAATCCATTTTGAGAGCATAAAGACTTTGTAAAGTGTATATTTCACGTTTTCCGAATTTATGTAAACAAGTTTTCATGTTTCACGATTGCTTACATAGGAACACATCTTTACATTTTTATCAGTGTTAATGGAATGTTTAAAGCCAGCCAGTGATCATCCAGCTCCCTGTTTTGGCTCTGGGTTAATTGTACAGGATGAAGGGCTGGGACATGGTGAGTTTGGATGTCTTTTATTTTCAGGATAACCTGCTGCATTGCGATGGAGGGATGGAATTGTGATGTCATTTGATCTGTTCCAGGTGAGTGGAGGCCAAAGGATTATTCTTTCTGTTTCCCCTGGGATGGAAAAATGGAGAAATTAAAAAGTTGCCTTTCTAAGGAAACAAGTTATTTACTCTAAAATAAATGCCCACAGACACCTTCTCCCACAAAAACAAAAACAACACACACGCGTGCGCGC